TTCAGAAATGGCAGAGGAGCCACCAAAGTTTGTACCTGGACTAGTGTCATACAAAGGGCTAAAGCTCATTAAAAATGTGCATGAGGAAAGTTATCTACAGTGCTCTCAGAAAGTATTCACACCCCTTGACTTTTTCCACATTTTGATGTGTTACAGCCTCAATTTATAATGGACTAAATTGACATTTTGTGTCACTGGCCTACACACAATACCCTATAATGTCAAAGTGGAATTATGTTTTTAGGAATTTTTACAAATTAAAGCTGAAATATGTAATTACTTTGGGTGACCCGGCCAAATTCACAAAGAAATGTGAGTTATAGCCCTTTCATTCTCATTGAAAAACAGTCTAAGAAGCTGTAGATCTGTTCTATGTGCGGTATTTCTATGCTTCCCATTCTTAAGTTTTGTTTTACTTTTCATTTTGTACATCAGCTTCAAACAGCTGAAAATACAATATTTTTGGTTATGGAAAATATACTTCACAGTGGTTTAGATGGTTTTAATGATTCTCTACACTATACTTGCTTGTTTTGTTACATAAACTGAAATTAGGTGAACTATTCCAATTTTAGCAACCAGGAAATGGTGGTGTGATTTCTGCATAGTGCATCTTTAATTAAAAATGAAAAGCTGAAATGTCTTGAGTCAATAAGTATTCAACCCCTTTATTATGGCAAGCCTAAATAAGTTCAGGAATACAAATTTGCTTAACAAGTCACATAATAAGTTGCATGGACTCACTCTGTGTGCAATAATAATGTTTAACATGTTTTTTGATTGACTACCTCATCTCTGTATCCCACACATACAATTATCTGTAAGATCTCTCAGTCGAGCAGATTCAACCAGAAAGACCAGGGAGGTTTTCCAAAGCCTCGCAAAGACATTGAATAGCCCTTTGAACATGGTGAAGTTATTAATTACACTTTGGATGGTGTATCAGTACACCCAGTCACTACAAAGATACAGGCGTCCTTCCTAAATCAGCTGCCGGAGAGGAAGGAAACTGCTCAGGGATTTCATGATGAGGCCAATGGTGACTTTTAAACAGTTACAGATTTTAATAGCTGTGATAGGAGAAAACTGAGGATGCATCAACAGCATTGTAGTTACTCCACAATACTAACCTAAATGACAGAGTGAAAGAAGGAAGCCTGTAAAGAATACAAATATTCCAAAACATGCATCCTGTTTGCAATAAGGCACTAAAGTAAAACTGCACAAAATGTGGCAAAGAAATGAACTTTATGTCCTGAATACGAAGTGTTATGTTTGGGGCAAATCCAACACAACACACCACTCTTCATATTTTCAAGCATGGTGGTGGCTGCATTATGTTATGGGTATGCTTGTCATCGGCAAGGACTAGGGAGTTTTTTAGGATTAAAATAAACTGAATAGAGCTAAGCACATGCAAAATCCTAGAGGAAAACCTGGTTCAGTCTGCTTTCTAACCTGGTTCAGTCTGCTTTCTAATTCACCTTTCAGTAGGACAATAATCTAAAAAACACGGCCAAATATACATTGGAGTTGCTTACCAAGACGTCATTGAATGTTCCTGAGTGGCCTTATTACAGTTTTCACTTAAATCGGATTGGAAATCTATGGCAAGACTTGAAAATGGCTGTCTAGCAATGATCAACAACCAACTTGACAGAGCTTGAAGAATTTTAAAAAAATAATGTTCAAATATTGTACAATCCAGGTGTGCAACGCTCTTAGAGACTTACCCAGAAAGACTCACAGCTGTAATCGCTGCCAAAGGTGGATTCTAATATTGACTCAGGGGTGTGAATACTTATGTAAATGATATATTTCTGTATTTCATTTTCAATAAATTTGCAAACATTTCTAAAAAACATGTTTTCACTTTGTCATTATGGGGAATTGTGTGTAGATGGGTGAGACATTTTTATTTATTTAATCCATTTTGAATTCAGGCTGTAACACAACAAAATAAGTCAAGGGGTATGAATACTTTCTGAAGGCACTGTAGACGCTCTGAAGGACTTTGATATCGGGGACAGTGACATTTTTGCTCTTATCAAATAAAATAAAATGGTATTTGTCACATGTGCCGAATACAACAGGTGTTGACCTTACCGTGAAATGCTTACTTACCCAAAGTCAGGTAAATCCACCCACTCTCCTAATCCATATATCGGCTATGAACAAAAATATGTTCTTATTGTTTGGATAGGGTATTTTACGTGTTAAGATGTGTATTCTGTCAATTATTTTGCAGGATGATTATTCCCTATTGGAATTGGGCCTTTAGGTATCCTCTCTAAGGCCAGAGGTCACCATAAAACAGTTCTTAGTGGAATCTAGGCCCCTGAGCCATAAAATCAGCCATGGGTGTTCTTAAGCGATTAAGGTGTTTCAAATGTATAGTCTATTCAAGCCCAGGGCCTCTGCCTTGATTTACTGGCATGGAAGGGTGAAACCGTGAACAGATAAGGCAAGAGTATGTAGGTCAGCCCTCCTCTGGAGGGTGAGAGAAATGCTGCGACCCTCTAAGAGGAACATGTCTGTCTTCCCATATGCTTATGTCTGTCTATGTCTCTTTGTCTGTTAAACCTTTAAATATAGAAGTTGTCTGCCTTATATTTTGCATCTAGCATTTCTCCACACCTTGACCAGGTTTTCGATTCCTAACATTTCCCTCAGTCAAGTATTGAATATCAAGCACAGATTCAACTACAAAGGACAGGGAGCTTTTCGAAAGCCAATGATTGGTAGATCGGTAACAATAACAAATCAGACATTGAATATCTCTTTTAGCAAGGCAAGTTAATAATTATGCTGTGGATTATGTATTAAACCACCCAGACACATCAAAGATACAGTCGTCCTTCTGAACTGAGCTGCAGGAGAGGAAGGAAACTGCTCCGGGGTGTCACCATGAGGCCATTGGTGATTTTAAAACACAAACAGAGTTCAATGGCTGTGATGGGAGAAAACTGAGGATGGATCAACAACATTGTAGTGACTCCACAATAATGACCTAATTGACAGAGTGAAAAGAAGAATACAAATATACAGAATACACTGCAAAAAAAAAACACGGCGAAGGAATACACTTTTTAGCCTAAATGCAAAGCCTTATGTTTGGGGCAAGTCCAACACAATACCTGCCTCCTTATTTTCAAGCATGGTTGTGGTTGCATCATGGTATGGGTATACTTGACATCGGGAAAAACTGGGGAGTTTTTCAGGATGAAAATAAATGAGATGGAGCTAAGCACAGGCAAAATCCTAGAGGAAAACCAGCTTCAGTCTGCTTTACACCAGACACTGGGAGAGGAATTCACCTTTCAGCAAGACAATAACCTACAACACAAGGCCACATCTGGAGTTGCTTACCAAGAAGACAGTGACTGTTCCTGAGTGGCCAAGTTACAGTTTGGACTTAACTCTGCTGGAAAATCTATGGCAAGACTTTGCTTTCAAGCCATGATCCCCAATACCTTGAAAGAGCTTAAAGAAGTTTGAAAAGAATAATGGGAAAATATTGCACAATCAAGTTGTGTAAAGCTCTTAGAGACTTACCCAATAAGACTCACAGCTCAGGGGGATGAATACTTATCTAATTAAGGTATATTAGTGTTTTATTTTTCATTAATCTTGAAAAGATGTTAACATTTTTCTTCCACTTTCTCATTACAGAGTATTTTGTGTAGATAGTTGACAAAAAATGACAATTAACTGAATTTTAGTCCCACTTTGTAACACAATAAAATGTGAAGAAATCCAAGGGGTGAATACTTATGATAGACACTGTAGATAAATTAAATACATTTTTAACACGTTTGATTTTATTAGGATTATAATCAAGTTTAATACCAGAGAAAATTAGTTTGTATTTTGATTTAAAAACATTTTGTGTACTCTTCCTTGTGTAACAGGACCTGAAAGGCATGATTGTCATGGTTTCAACCTTTCTGAAGAAAAGTCTTGATGACAAAACACTAAATATGATTGTTGAAAAGAGTACTTTCAGTAACATACAACAAACCCAAAATGCCAATTTGAACACTGTGGCTCCAGACCTGTTTGACCGCAGCGAGGGATTGATGTTGCTAAAAGGTAACATTTTGTATAAAGTTTTGGGCTATTTCTATCTCACTTATTGATTATAACAACCAGACTATGAGCTCCCCTAGGTGTCGCTATTTCAAAATGTCCCAATTCAAAACAGTTTCTGCGACCTGATTATAGTGTTTTACATTTCAATGAGCTTACTCTCATTCCTTTTGTGGCTTCACAGGAACAATTGGAGACTGGAAAACTCTGTTTACCATCACCCAGAGTGGAAGGTTTGACAGGACCTACAAGAGGATTAAAGGTTTCCCTCTGGAGTTCCTTTGCGATGTATGAACTGTGAATTGTAACAGGCCTACTGTTGATAATCATACTACCATAAGACTTGCTATTTACAGAATGCCCTGATATAGTTTGTCCATGAGTGAAGAAAGTGCTTGTACCCAAGGTAGTTAAGCAACAGAAAATAACTTTGTGTGAACTTATTATTTATGTCCTATCCAAAGCTCCAAATTGATTAGCTACAGCACTGAGCAAATCTTTTATTTCTGTACTAATTAGAGACGTGCTGTGTATTTGTAATGTAGGCTATTACATGAGACATACTAACAAAGTGTCCTAAACCCATTATGTATCGTAGCAAACACCAGAGACATAACAATAACATACTATGTTTCCATTACTCATGATATTTTTTATGGTCATTGTTCATCCTTTGAAAAAACTGATTTGACATCATTAAACCAATCAGTGTGTTTGAACTCACTGACCAATCACATGCCAGATTGGACTGATTATGAAATAAGAAAAACCAAAACATCACCAGCAACAGTGGGCCCCTTGTCTAGAATGTGCTTTTGTAACCCTTCTATTGCCAAATGCATTAATAAGCCGAAGCTGAAACATAATCTTGTAACAAAGAGCTTTTCTCTGCCAAAACCCCTTCTTTCTCCCAACATTGTGCACTACATCAGATAGGAAAGTAGCTCCTATTTTGTGGTACAGTTTGTGTCAATGCCAGACTCAGAGTTTGCTATTATTTCTGTTAGTGTTTACTAGTATTTCTATTATAGAGATAGATTGACTCTAGATTGATAGATTGATACTATCTTAGTTTATCATGATTGCAAAAGTGAGAATAGTTTACCATATCACAGCTTTCAGCTGGTATGCCTTTATCATTAAGTCCATGGCTGCTAAGGATGGAGAGAAGTTACCACCTGGGATCTTTGAGTATGGTGGACCCTGGAAGTACCTTACTTTCCTCAACCTGGTAAGATTATTTGGCATTTTGATTACAATTGGGGGTTGGATTCTAATGGATTAAAAGGTACTACAGACTGAAGTTACAATAGTAATGTCAAAATGTATTGTGAATGGAATTGATTTGGGATAGTTGGATGAAATGTGTTATACTGCATGGGTTGTGGTTTGATCTGAACAATAAAACCTAACTTCACAGATTTTAATATATCCGGTATAGAGGTTAAACCCTGTCAACCTAGTCAGGAATATCTCTAAGGTCACATGAGGCTGCCTGATTTTTGTTGTATGATTTACTGTATGTTTATATTAATGATACATGATAACAAAATGGGAATAACATTAATATGCTATGTATGCAATATTTAAGTTATTGCAGATGGTGTTCTTTGGGATGGCCGTGGTGAATGATCTTCAGACTGGGAAAAACCCAGCAAAGGGTCTGAACAAGTGGAAAGACCTCATCTTCTCTGTCCTCGCCTTCCCTGTAGGCATGGTGAGAAGGAGTGATTGAAATACTGTGAAATGTTGTGATTTGATATACCACCAACATAGAATCTCCCACATCAAAGGGAGATAGTATATATCATCTTAATGGATTACTGCAACAACAAAAAATATTTACTTTTGTCTCTAAAAATTTTCAGTTTGTGGTGCTGCTTTTCTGGGTGATCTTTGCCTATGACAGGCAGCTTGTCTACCCAGAATCTTTAGATGCCTTCTTTCCTCTCTGGATGAATCATGCTATGGTCAGTACATAAAAATTACAGACCAAATGTGTTTAATGATTGTGAATGTAGAAGTTGGCTGGAAAGTAATTAATGATGAAAATGTATGAAAATGTTATTTGTAGCACACCGTTGTTATGCCTATCTTACTTGGGGAGATCCTGCTTCAACCTCATGTGTACCCAAAGACCAACAATGGCTTAGCTGCCTTAGGAGTTGTGGGCTTGGCTTACTTGGGCTGGTACGTAAAGTTGTTTATGAATCAGATACAAATGTATGTATTGCTGACCATGTGTTTGTAGCACTAATCCACATTAATTTGATAATTGAGTTCTAATTCTGATTCAAAATGTATGCTGCTGACCCACTACACATATATTGACAATAAGAGTCGGACATTGTACTTACTGTATGTTGTTTCACTGCACCTCCATTCTCCATCTCTCTTGTTCTGTAGGGTGATATTTATCTACCTGGCGGTAGGTCTTTGGGTGTATCCTCTCCTCGGGCTCCTTAGCACCTCTGGTGTGTTGGGGTTATTCCTCTTCAACATGACGGTGGTGACAATGATGTATCTGCTAGGACGGACCCTAAACAACTGTATCTGGGGTGAGTGACCTCAGCAGTCTAGAACCATGAAGTAAGAAGCAGAAATACCATGCTAACGTTATAATAACCACTCCCTTTCTCGTTCTCTCTCTCTCTCTCATTGTTATTATTTTAGGAAAAGGCAAGACGGTAACTAAAAGGAAATGAAACTCAGCCCATTTTCCTCTTTCAATCTATTGGGGCCGGATACATTGCTGTCACTCAGATATCCCCAACGAACCTCAAGAAATACTGTATGTGTATGAATAGAAATTCCACACAGGGTCTTATGTCATATGTACTGTCCTCTGACAACATAGTTTCTAACAGACATACTGTAGTTTTTCTTTTTAAAAGAAATGTTATCAGCATCACAATAAGAAAATATAACTCACAAGTTATAGTTACCACAACATTCTCAAAACAATAGTTTTCTACTTATCAACATGTTCTGACTACAACTTGACCAAATGAAAATATGAGAGTATACAAGGGGTGATAAAATATCTTTTTATACCACTTTTTGTCTTGAGATTGGAATATCATTGTGTTTCCAGAGGCTGTATGAACACTTGTCATAACGTACATATCTGTCAAGTGGAAATCATGAACAGTATGTGAGCTATTATAGTCTCAATACCATGGTTGTGTGTACTTTTACCACAACAGGACATTGGATGTTTGCTTTTATGACCAAACGTAATTATAAGGCACAAAAAAAAGCATGACATAAATATGATGGAAGTCATCTTCATTTTGTAGATATCATTTCATTATTCAATAATTAATAAATAAAATAAAGGGCAGCACATCACTGCAATGACAACTGTGGGCCCATGAGTGCATCCTTCTTCATTCTCACATTGTCCATTAATGTTTTTTGATATTGGTTGATCTTGCGTAGAAATCAATATTTTCCAGGGTACCAAATGTAAATGTCTTTGTAACTGATTTGTACATTTCCTGGTACTCCCTAAGTGTGCAGGTCCCTGTTGTCCTTGAGGTGTTGAATATAGTTTGGGTCTGCGTCTACCAATCCAACTGACAGGACTTTGGCCAATAAGTGATAGTCTTGCTCATTTAACTGCAAAATAAATGAAAGTCAATTGATGATGCAGTATTAAGGAATACAGTATGAAACAGTTTTGGTATCTAAAGTGTATTATCTGAATATACAGCGCATTTGGAAATTATTCACACCCCTTGACTTTTTCCACATTTTGTTAGGTTGCAGCCTTATTCTGAAATGGATTAAATTCATTGTTTCCTGATCAATCTACACACAATACCCCATAATGACAATGCAAAAACAGGTTTACATAAGTATTCAGACCCTTTGCTATGAGACTCGAATTTGAGCTCGGGTGCATCCTGTTTCCATTGATCATCCTTGAGATGTTTCTACAACTTGATTGGAGTCCACCGGTAGTAAATTCAACGGATCGGACATTATTTGGAAAGGCACACACCTATCTATAGTGGCTTGCGAAAGTATTCACCCCCCTTGGAATTTTTCCTATTTTGTTGCCTTACAACCTGGAATTAAAATGGATTTTTTGGGGGTTTGTATTATTTGATTTACACAACATGCCTACCACTTTGAAGATGCAAAACATTTTTTATTGTGAAACACACAAGAAATAAGACAAAAAAACAGAAAACTTGAGCGTGCATAACTATTCACCCCCCCCCCCCCCCCCCCCCCCCCCCCCCAAAGTCAATACATTGTAGAGCCACTTTTTGCAACAATTACAGCTGCAAGTGTCTTGGGGTATGTCTCTATAAGCTTGGTACATCTAGCCACTGGGATTTGTGCCCATTCTTCAAGGTGAAACTGCTCCAGCTCCTTCAAGTTGGATGGGTTCCGCTGGTGTACAGTAATCTTTAAGTCATACCACAGATTCTCAGTTGGATTGAGGTCTGGGCTTTGACTAGGCCATTCCAAGACATTTAACTGTTTCCCCTTAAACAACTAGAGTGTTGCTTTAGCAGTATGCTTAGGGTCATTGTCCTGCTGGAAGGTCAACCTCCGTCCCAGTCTCAAATCTCTGGAAGACTGAAACAGGTTTCCCTCAAGAATTTCCCTGTATTTAGCGCCATCCATCATTCCTTCAATTCTGACCAGTTTCCCAGTCCCTGCCGATGAAAAACATCCCCACAGCATGATGCTGCCACCACCATGCTTCATTGTGGGGATGGTGTTCTCGGGGTGATGAGAGGTGTTGGGTTTGCGCCAGACATAGCGTTTTCCTTGATGGCCAAAAAGCTCAATTTTAGTCTAATCTGACCAGAATACCTTCTTCCATATGTTTGGGGAGACTCCCACAATCCTTTTGGCGAACACCAAATGTGTTTGCTTATTTTGTTCTTTAAGCAATGGCTTTTTTCTGGCCACTCTTCCGTAAAGCCCAGCTCTGTGGAGTGTACGGCTTTAAGTGGTCCTATGGACAGATACTCCAATCTCCGCTTTGGTCTGTTTGTTGCCTCTCTGATTAATGCCCTCCTTGCCTGGTCCGTGAGTTTTGGTGGGCGGCCCTCTCTTGGCAGGTTTGTTGTGGTGCCATATTCTTTCAATTTTTTAATAATAGATTTAATGGTGCTCCGTGGGATGTTCAAAGTTTCAGATATTTTTTTATAACCCAACCCTGATCTGTACTTCTCCACAACTTTGTCCCTAACCTGTTTGGAGAGCTCCTTGGTCTTCATGGTGCCGCTTGCTTGGTGGTGCCCCTTGCTTAGTGGTGTTGCAGACTCTGGGGCCTTTCAGAACAGATGTATATATACGGAGGTCATGTGACAGATCATGTGACACTTATATTGCGCACAGGTGGACTTTATTGAACTAATTATGTGACTTCTGAAGGTAATTGGTTGCACCAGATCTTATTTAGGGGCTTCATAGCAAAGGGGGTGAAAACATATGCACGCACCACTTTAAAGTTATACATTTTTTTGAATTCTTTGAAACAAGTTATTTTTTTCATTCCACTTCACCAATTTGGACTATTTTGTGTATGTCCATTACATGAAATCCAAATAAAAATCCATTTAAATTACAGGTTGTAATGCAACAAAATAGGAAAAATGCCAAGGGGGATGAATACTTTTGCAAGGCACTGTATATAAGGTCCCACAGTTGACAGTGCATTTCAGTGCAAAAACCAAGCCATGAATTCATAGGAATTATCTGGAGAGCTCCGAGACAGGATTGTGTCGAGGCACAGATCTGGGGAAGGGTACCAAAAAATGTCTGCAGCATTGAACGTCCTCAAGAAAACAGTGGCCTCCATCATCATTTTTTTTTTTAGGGGGTAGATAAGCTTTAATATTGCAGATAGATTGTAGCTTCCATCAATGTAATTGTCTGCATCACTTCCAATCCCCCATATATATATGTTTTAAATATGTATATTTATTTATATATATATACATATACATACACATACACATTCATATAGTGCATTCGGAAAGTATTCAGACACCTTGACTTTTTCCACATTTTGTTACGTTACAGCCTTATTCAAAAATGTATTAAATTGTTTTTTTCCCTCATCAATCTACAGACAATATCCCATAATGACAAAGCAAAGACAGGTTTTTAGAATTGTTTTCTAATAAAAAAAGTAAAAAAACGGAAATATCACAGTAGTATTCAGACTCTTTACTCAGTACTTTGTTGAAGCACCTTTGGACGCGATTACAGCCTCCAGTCTTCTTGGGGATGACGCTGCAAGCTTGGCACACCTATATTTGGGGAGTTTCTCCCATTCTTCTCTGCAGATCCTCTCAAGCTCTGTCAGGCTGGATGGGGAGCGTCGCTGCGCAGCTATTTTCAGGTCTCTCCAGAGATGTTAGATCGGGTTCAAGTCCGGGCTCTGGCTGGGCCACTCAAGGACATTCAGAGGCTTGTCCCGAAGCCACTCCTGTTTTGTCTTGGCTGTGTGCTTAGGGTCGTTGTCCTGTTGGAAGTTGAACCTTCGCCCCCGTCTGAGGTCCGGAGCGCTCTGGAGCAGGTTTTCATCAATTATCTCTCTGTACTTTATTTAGTTCATATTTGCCTTGACCCTGACTAGCCTCCCAGTCCCTGCCGCTGAAAAACATCCCCACAGCATGATGCTGCCACCACCAAGCTTCACCATAGGGATGGTGCCAGGTTTCCTCCAGACGTGACACTTGGCATTCAGGCCAAATAGTTCAATCTTGGTTTCATCAGACCAGAGAATCTTGTTTCTCATGGTCTGAGAGTCTTTTTAGTGCCTTTTGGCAAATAAAGTTATTTGTTTCTGGCCTTTTTGAGCCTGTAATCGAACCCAAAATTGCTGATGCTCCAGATACTCAATTAGTCTCAAGAAGGCCAGTTTTATTGCTTCTTTAATCAGCACAACAGTTTTCAGCTGTGCTAACATAATTGCAAAAGGGTTTTCTAATGATCAATTAGCCTTTTAAAATGATAAACTTGGATTAGCAAACACAACGTGCCATTGGAACACAGGACTGATGGTTGCTGATAATGGGCCTCTGTACGCCTATGTAGATATTCCATTAAAAATCAGCCGTTTCCTGCTACAATAGCCATTTACAACATTAACAATGTCTACACTGTATTTCTGATCAATTTGATGTTATTTTAATGGACCAAAAAATTGCTTTTCTTTCGAAAACAAGGACGTTTCTAAGTGACCCCAAACTTTTGAACCGTAGTGTATATATATATGTGTGTGTATGTATATATATATATATGTATGTATATGCGAGAGAGAAAAAACATGGGGGATTGGAAGTGATGCAGGCAATTACATTGATGGAAGTTACAATCTATCTGCAATATTAAAGCTGATCTACCCCCCCCCCCCCCCCCCCCCCAAAAAAAAATATCAAATACAAAAAATTAAACACAATAAATAATATATATATATATATATATATATATATATATATATATATATACATACAGTGAGGGAAAAAAGTATTTGATCCCCTGCTGATTTAGTACGTTTGCCCACTGACAAATAAATGATCAGTCTATAATTTTAATGGTAGGTTTATTTGAACAGTGAGAGACAGAATAACAACAAAAAAATCCAGAAAAACACATGTCAAAAATGTTATAAATTGATTTGCATTTTAATGAGGAAAATAAGTATTTGACCCCCTCTCAATCAGAAAGA